GTAAACTCTCAAGTCAGTAGGACTTCATCTTCTGATTGTCGGACAAGTAAGTCAAATTGCATGAATTTAGACGTTTCACTTGTAGCATTCACCGACGCAGAGGCCTGCCTTGTGCTTTGTCACTTGAAGCTACTCAAAGCTGCGAGTTCAGGCCAACTTCCTCCGAAGTTATTCAAGTGCGGTGGTGAGGTAATTGTCGCATACTTGGCAGCTGTTTCCAAAATTTGGTGTGAAGAAAATGTTCCAGTCTCTTGAGGAGTCGATTATGGTACCCAACTTCAACTAGGGTGTCAATGCCTCATGCACCAACCACAAAGGAATCAGTCTAACATCCGTCGCCACCAAATTACTATCATCCATTCCACGCTGCATGCTAACAATCAGTGGCAATGTACACTTCCGCGATGAACAACTCGTTTTATGCCCCGGTGAGCGGACCATAATTTTACGCTCAGCTTAGCAAAAACTTGCATTTGCTAGTCTATATGCAATAGCTAGTCTATTACAGCCGTTGACAGGGTGAACGAATACGTATGTAATGAACCGTCATGAGTTCATGTGAAACGAAGATGAAACGGTGAGCTATGATACCGCCAGCCCACTTCTGACCAAGGTGCCAAAAAGCGACGCACTGGATATGGTGAAACGCTGTTTGACTGAAAACACTAACCTGGGGAGTGGCCGAAGCTTAAAGTGGTTGAAACAACCGAGAGCAAGACATTAAGCAGTATATTGTTCTAGTTCAGGTTTCAGTCGAAAGTAGGCACTCAAGAACATGGTTTATTCATTACATGATCAATGTCTAGTATTTTGCACATAGTACTAGCGTACTTCAGTAAATGACCAAACGTTGTTGGCATCAAGTGATGACACCTTTTACAAAATAGTAGTGGATAAGAAGAGCTAATGTGTTAGGAACCTGAACTCGTTCACCAAGGAGTGACACATTGCTATTCCTTGACTGTTCCGCTTGCCGGAATCGTTAGCTTCCAAACCGATATTTCCTCAACCGGCGGACACAGTTCCAGTCACTAAAAGTATGTGTATGTGGAGTGCCTTATCTGTGTTTCACAGGGATAATGCCCTGTGTACAGAGGAGAAAGTTGGGAGCGTCGCATGGAACTAGACAGTGATGTAATTGCTGAACAGTGGACACTCGAAACCGTTATTTTAAACCCCCATTCCAAAATATAATGAAACGACTTTGGAAATATACCACAGAGTGCATTAAGATGATAAAGATATCATAGGTAGAAGAAACTTTGTTTTCTTTTCAGGCGACACTAACCAAGAAATAACATTGGGAATCTGATCAACACTGGAATATCTGAAGGACATTTCTCGTAGGTAAGATGACTAAATGCGTTCACAAAGTATTCGCAACAACTGAGGACATGTGTATATATGCCATCCAAGAGCAGCTGCACAAAACCCTGTTAGGGCACATGAGGTGCATGTCAAGGCGACCGAGGGATACGTCCGAATACAATGCACTACTGCGAGATTCAGCGAAGAAGACGCACATGCTAAGTGCAGTGTATGTAGGGTGGCCAGATTATTCGTGAACCAAGGCGGGACGCTTCCAGATTTCTTATGCGCCAAACAGGGACAGTACAACTACCTCCGGTTGTTTCCGCAAACGATGACCGTGCAAAAGATAAATGTCTGCAGGTATTACCTCAAAGCAATAAAAAGAGCAGTTACGTTATTAGACAGTACTATGGTGACGCTACTGAAGTTATAAATAAATAACTATTTGTTAGCTTTTAATTATCACAAGGCAAAGAGATGAAGGTATGATCAAATATGCTTACAAGCGTAGTTGATTGGGAATAGTAAAATGTTATGTTTAAAAAAGGGTACAACAAAAATTTTCATAGTTTATATACTTGAGAAGTTCGCCGGATAGTGGTGCGATCCAGGAACACAATGGCCCTGGTTCGCGGAAAAAGCAGTTACTGTTTTGGTGGCATAGCCAACGTTCCGCGTGATTTCGTCATGTTGTAATCCATGATTTCATAAGCATAGGAACGAAAGTAAAAGGTCGGTATAATTGTTTCCAATTAACAGTTAATGGATTGCTTGAAATCGTATTAGCTGGAACCACAGTTATCCAGCAATCCTGAAATAAGTAAATAAACCTATGTTTTTATCTAGACAGTGTGAGATGCGCCTGCATAAACATGATCACGTTAATACAACAAGGATTGTCTCATGTAAATGCGGCACAAGATTATAAGTAACAAAGGATCCATGTGATAAGTGTGTGTTGATGCATGCAGGTAAGAACGGCTGTGGTTGTGTTACTTTACTTTGCAAATGTGACGCCGTATTTCTGATTGTTTTCGCTCAGGCGCAAGAAGCTGATGTATGAAATCTTCGTTTTGGATGACCCACATCCGTGGATTAAGTCAAAGGGATACGTAAGAGGCAGTGATTTTGTTAGCGGGGAGTAACCTCCGCCACGTCACAATGTTGTTAAAAGGACATATGAAGCTTGCCAGGCTAAAAGCCACCACGTCATGGAACACTACTGCTTAACTATTTGCTGAAACGGGGTAAACCCGAACCACGAAGCTGGCACCACGGGGAGTTGTTCGTCTAGCCAGAGGAATGCATTTTCCGTAGTAGATCTAGGCATTGCATTAGCATAGCTTGAAGCTGTTCGCAGGGATCTCGGGCACTGCTGTTCTCATAAGTGCAATTCATCATAAGTGTCGCTTTGAATATTTAAACGCTAGGCTGCGTTTTCCCACTTGTTCATACGGGGATCATTTGTAAGAAGATTCTTCTAGTAGTTGCATCAGTCCCAGGGAGAAAAAAGTTCAATAAGTTAACCTATTTGTTCTTATGGGACCGAGTTGGTCTGGAACTGGGAAAATACATCAACCCACCGTACATCAACCTATGTTGTCCACAGATCCAATCGGAAATGTTGTCTGCTGATGTAAGCCTACTCCTCCTTTTATCTTCGTCAACGAACTCATAGTCCTTGATTTCCAAGTCTGGGATGGTTGATGCAAAAAGACTGACGCTAGCTACAAATTTTCCCAGCACGGTAGTTGTTCCAATGTCACCCAACTGAAGCCACTTATACTTTCCTATAGATAACCGATGCAATTGTAGCAGAAGACTGTGATAATATCCGTCCTATCTCTTTTTCTGATGAGACCCGCTTGTTCGAGTCAGCCAATTCAGATATTTACCACGTTTGGAACAAAGCTGTTTCTGCTATTGTCCCTGCAATTCTGCATGTGTTCGTGCATTGCAGACGACACTTACAGTGTGGGACCATACAGTTCTGTGCTAACCTTATAAATTAGCATTCGACGGATTTCATTTACGTTGCCAAGCTATACACGGAGAATTGTCTCCTAGTCACTGCCGAAGCCATGGTTTTGATCGTACAGAACCCTGAGCATTAATATATCAACATATTTCACAGGGTACTAATATTGATGTAAAATCCTCCGTATAACCTACTGGTTTTTCTGTTGATTTCCCTACCAAGGATCATACAGTCGTGTGTCCGCCTGTTACGGAGTTAGGTATGTTAAACAGTACTGCAAGATTCCAGTACACAAACCCACATTGAGAAACCAATGACATTAATTTTTCAGACGCTTTACGTCAGTTTTCTACCTCAAAAAATACGTCAACTGCTGGCAGTGGTTTTTCAGTTTGCACTGGTGATATCATTGCAGAAGAAAGCAATTCATTGAATGAGCATCCGTATAAAAATGTAGTAAACATTCCCATCGAGATGAAGAAAAACGTCTTGGAATGCCTGTTTCCGGAAGTCCACATTGTCACCGTGGCAAATACTATCGCTCGGATTAGGACTCATGCCTAACAGCCATTCGGGAATGTACTCAGTGCTTACATAAGCAATACAGATTATCGCAACATTAGGTCTAAATCAAGAAGCAGGTGGTAGTATAGAGTAAGCTGCTATGTCGAGATATGTCACCATTGTTAACCTTTTATGCCCATCCAACGCTTTGTTGCAGGAGACATTTAATCAGTGGGAAGCGTAGTTTAGGGACCATTTCGAAAGCATGACGACGTTCGAATGAAATAGCTAACTAACCTCAACGGTATTTAGACGACACTCTGGCAAGAATGAATATCCGGTAGGAAGGCTGAAGATAAGGAGTCTCGAAACAGGGGAGAATAGCCGGAGGAGTATTGTTGTCCAAAATAGCTTTAATTTGCTGCGCAGTTACGTGTTACTGACAAGTACCAATATGACAAAACGGCCGTCTACCGCTTTCTTAGATGTGTAGTGATTGTCTGTCTGCGATTAACTGCTACGTATCATCATAAAACCTAAAATCTCCCTTAGTACTTAGTCACCGTAGAAGCTTACATGCCGCTTCGCTTGGAGGCAACCTGCAAAAGTAGTTGTTGCTTTGGTTTACAGTCCTGTCCTCTGTATCTCCAGAACAGGCATAACGGTGGAGGATGAGAGCGCATTACCGCAGTTATACATGAGTTAAGGCAGTCCGCTGGCGTCGCCCATGATTCAGTGTCACAACTAGCTGGCTCTCCATAGTAAGTTACTACGTTCGAATCCGGTAGGATTCGGCTGGTGCTCACTACTGGCAGATTCCAACAGGATGAAACGGCCAACTGGTGCTTTCCTAGATGTGTGAACTTTGTCTTCGCAAACCTAACTATGAGGAATCTTCACCAAAAGATAGTTCCCCTCTTTGTGTTTTTTTCAATTCATGGAGATAGTGAGTGAAAATGGAATATTTTGAGCTTAATACTCGTTGCTTATATTTCAAACTTATGTAGTTGTATACCACTGAATAAATACAATCATTGTTTTATTGTTTTTAACAAACAATGAACTGTATTAAGATGGTTAGTTTCCTGGAAATTGTAAGTAGCATAAAATCAGGAGAGCACCCATAAGAGAACGCAACACAGTTGCTACATCGACATCAAATGCGGGGTTGAAACTCATTTGCGGTAGCAGTTTTCGCAGAGCTAACTCAGGCGATTTTTGATAAAATTCCGACATTGGATTTTTCTACTTCACTCGGACTGTAAAACCAATTTTCACAAAATCTAAGAAAAAATAGGAAAAAGGTGGTACGCGTTTATGCAATAAGCAACTTTTGGACAACTATTCACTTCAAAACCATTACGGATAAACTATTATGCAAAACTGCTGATAAACGCATGAGCTGGATTCAAAGAGAAGCAAGATTTGATTTTGTGTGATGGTAACTGCAGTAAACTTGCTCCCAATACATGTTGTAGTTCCGTATGTAGGCGTAAAGTTAAAGTGCTTGTGCCGTTGTCCCCAACATGTGTATTTTACTGATGATAAATGCATTTACAACGGTTAGATTGTATTTTTGGGCACAATATTCACAATGACTTCTTACACACCTGCTAGTAATTAACACAGAATATGAAGATGATTAGTGGAACAGTAACCAGAAGTATTTCGCAGCGCACGGAATTATAATATGCTGTAGCGAAGGAACCAAAATTAGTTAACCTGCAGATGCCAAATCAAACCGCAATAAAAGGATGATTAAATCATTTTTGACGCGATAATTTAAAGTGACTGAAATAATACTTGCTACCACAAAATATATTTGGAGGAGTATACAAGTAACTTATCATAACCGTTACAACAGATTTCCTTGTTTAATTTACCCAATATGCCTGCAAATTATGTGCATTTATTTATCGATACGCCGTCCGTCAAATGTTAATTCCGAATGATATTGTGATTTGAACTATTACTCCGGCGGCAATAAACATTGAAAGCATGCAGAGTTAGCTGAGACTTGTTAGAACAGTTAAAATATACTGGGTCCTCTTGGTGTTATACATACCAAACAATATCTTATACACAGGGACACTCTAGCCCAGTATTTTATTCCATTGATTTTATTGAGCTGGGGAGAGCAGAAGCAAGGATCCGCCTTACCCATGTCATCTGCAGCTCATCAATAGGAGCAGGTAGGTTTCTGCGATCTGGTAGTCATCAGGAAGCCTGAGCAGTCGCAGTAAAATTGTACAGCCTTGCTGATTGGAATTTGCCGTTTGAAACTTTCCTCTATCAGGGTATCGAAAACAGTCTCTGTAGATGGTTCCAGTCATTCACTACACGCTTGAAGAGAGTGGGAGTCTTGCTGGTTTTGAGCTTCCCCGATTTGGACAGTTTTCAGCTGTTTCCTCTTGTCAAGCCATCTGCGTTGAGTTGGAAAAACTGCTGTAGTACATCCCTACGTCCGCGTTTATTATGCGCCTGGCAAAGAGGAACTATCCAGGAAGACGGTATTTTATAAAGAACTGGTTCATCAACTTGATCTTGTTGTAGTAGGGTCGATAACGAGGCTTGGATATGGACTTAGGATCACGCGTCTGGACTTTTCCGATTGGGGCGAGATTCAAGATTTACGAGTTGGAATGCCGCGGACAGTACGTACGCTAGAATCGGTCACGTGTGAGAAGTGAACAGGAGCTTGAAGTTTTTCGGTCTCATTCAAGAGAAGGTGCTTATGCTGTAGCACATTTTGGTTGCATCGGCGGCTCTTTCCAGAGTATAGTGTGCGTGGTGCTTAAGATAAAATACCCAATGCGGTAAGTTCCAAGTAGTTCAGAAGCCCCAATCAGCAGCATAGTGCATTCTTCGACGGTTGGCAGGCCCGACTAGATTGACCAGTTGTGTAATGTACTAAGGGTCACCTGTAGTCAATCAGCGACGAGGTCGGATACTTCAGCCCAAGGCTTGAGGTCGTCGTCAAAGATCAAGCGTTCTGTTTGGAATGTTACGTTAAGAGCACTGATTTATAGCTTGAACAGTTCGGGTCTCGTAACAGATCCCAGTGGAATACAGCTGGTCACGTGCATTGGCGTTTTAGGAGGCTTGTTCATTTTCGTTTGATGGTCCGATCTAAGAAGTCGATAATCTACGAGTGAAGACTGCCACTAAAACCGATTTCCATAAGCTTCCGAAGTGGTCGCTAGTGTAGGACTTTTTTGGAGGCTCCTTTAAAATCGACACCATACGCATCTGTACCTTGTTCTGCAGCAAATGACCTAGTTCAGTTTCCTCCCGTCAACAGCAAATTGGTTGAGCAGTAACGTACCTTCCGAGAAACATGCTGGAAATAGGGAGTGCACTTTTTTTACAGCAACGCCTTTGTGGGATGCGTTTGATGCTCTATTCCAAGACGTTACAAATTATGGATGACAAACAGATTGAATGGTGGTCTAAAGAATCCTGAGGATTTCCTCCCTTGTAATTGGGCATTAAGTTCAGTTTTATACTCGACAAGTAGACAACCAGCTTTCAAAGACAGCTGAAGGAATTGATAGATAGGTGACAAAAGGATGCAATCAATCTTGTCCAGATGAGGAGATCGAGTTCACTTCAATTAGACGATTCACAAATGTGCCTGTGCTGAATTAAATAAGTTCTATGAGTGAGGGGAGTGGGAGTTCACGTACATTAGTGGGCGGAGCTTCTGGCCGATATGCAGAGGAGCATTGCCGGACCGATAGGCACACTGTCTTGTCTTCCCTTTTCCTGGGAGCACAGGTTTTTCGGCGCAAAGTATATCAATTAATCCGAGACCAATTAAGTGATCTTGGATTTCACTCACAGTTCTCTTCACTGATTCACGAGAAGACTCAGATTTCGGTCACTACAAAGTAAACTTCTGGTGCAGGGTTTCTTTCTATAGTTTAGGAAAATGTGCTCACTGTCCAGGTTTATTCGAAAAGTAGAAGATTCCAGGCTCCAACATCTACTCTTTGACGAATTGTTTAGTCCTGTGTACTAGCCTCCGTTTTTAGGCATGAAAGACGGGTGATCAAGAAGAAGGCTCTCCTTTTATGAGTGGTTAAGCTCTTCTTTCATAAGAAAAAGCTTGAATCAATTAATATGGTCAATTGGTGGCTGAGTGGTCAGACTGGAGAAGTCAGATACCCTTGCTGTCAACAAAACGAGGATATGCAGTGACACGCAAGGAGTACTCTGATCTGCATGGAGAGATGATGTATTAGATTTCTATCATGAATTACACGAAAAAGTTCAGATATAAATGACTTAGAGATCATGCCTTTGCGTTGATATCAGTCGACGCGAGTAGCATTTAAGCATCCCAGCATTAGGCAGTTCTTGGCTCCCCCATTCGTTTTGTCTTATTCCGGAAGGCGGACAGTGTTATTCGACTAGGGTTTGTACTCCACCCCTAGGGTGAAGAGTTTGCATTTAGCATTGACTCTACGCCATAACTTTGTGAAACGCCGTCACTGATACCAGCGATTGTGTGTAAAATGTGGTCTGAGCTCCACTAAATGATATCGTTGCCCCCGGTCTTTTTCTACATGCAAGCAGCCAAAATTGCTTATATCATGGGACTTGAGCCTCGCTGTCAGGTTTGCTCGGGGTTAGCCTGAAATCTGTGCAATCAAGAAGATATGGGCGAAGCTACGAAGTAAGAGTGAGAATCTCGTCTCATTTCCTCGTCAAGACACAACCATTGCTAGGCCTCACTCAAGGGATATCTCGGAGTTTCCTTAACAACAAGAACATCCACGGAAAGAGGATTCCTTTTCCCGTTTAGTCAACAAGCTCTAGGCGCATCGGCAGTCGCTTTCATTTTAACATAGTCTTCAGCCAGAGATGCATCGGGGCATATTCCCCCTTGAGACTCGAGAACAGTTCAAAAAGCGGCGTCTTTCGGCCTCATCTTGACGGAATAAGCCAAGGGCACGCAACTTGGGAGGTTCACTCTAACTTTTTGCCGAGGCGAAGTGCGAAACCTTATTGATTCGAAGTTTGCCAACTTCAAAGGTCAGAGAGAAAATGCGCTTTAGTAATGTATACTCGTCCAATAACTTCCATGCTGTTGTCAGCTTGTCATCTTCAGGTGCATTGACGAGAACCAGACAGCGCTCGCCTAGAGGCCACTCTCCCTCATTAATAGTCGTCTTGGGGAGTTGAGGGTGTCATCTAAGCAGCTTCTCCAACTGATTGCTTTCATACAGAACAGATTTCAATCGTGAGCTAGGGAAATCCTTGTGAGTGTTGCGCTCTGATTCCTTCTTTACTATATGACGGTGCACAGCTGTATCCAGGCAAACTGCATTGGCTCCACGCTTTGACGCACGACTAAATTATATGTATCTTTCTTGGAATGAAAGCTGAATTTACTAGGTAGCAGTATCTGTCGATGAAACAGAGGACTCCACTAAAACTAACGTTTGCAGTCACCTTGCTGGACACATTAAGTAAGGAGAGGGGACCAACCAATTTTTCTATTGTATTGACTACGGGGCTGAGCGGCGTTAAATAGATCAAGAAGCTCTTAGCCTTCTTATTGCCTTAGCATGTGTCGCGAATAAAGAAGACTAAGGAGTACGTTCGTCAAATTAGTTCTTACAATTTGGTTTCGATACTGTAGCAGTCAATATACAAACAGACACTGCTCTCCTTGCAATGCATGACATGTGAGCTGGTGGCGATTACTTACCATAACTCGAACACATTGATATTCTTTCTCCTGAGTTTGCTAGGAAATAGCTATGAAAGTTATATTGAATACAAGGCGGAATTAGACAAAAGTAAAGTTATTTTCCCAGAGTTTATCCAAACACCGTTATCCACGATGTGTTATTTAGGAACGAGATAATATAGGACGCTAAATCTCGAGTTACCACGTTAAGCTCAAGGTGGTACCTAATAAATAGTTATACTTCCTTCAGGCTCCACCGATGATTACAAGGTAACGCAAGGTAATTACAACTATACACTAGCAATAATACAGTCATCTACCATTTGAATAGTAACTTGCAGCCATCTAAAACAGTCGCCGCTAATGTGATATCTGTTAATGTGAATGGATGCTTGAAGAATGTAAGTTAACAGCCAAATTTAAGTGATATGATCTGCCAATAACTAACGCAAGCGCACCGAACATCAGCACTGTCATTGAAATTCGGCTGCACATTTACCAATTTCCAGGTGCCTGAGTAGAGTGTGACTTGCATGTCATCTAAAGGAATAAACTGTGAGTTGCTGTGGGGGTTCTGTGCGTAAACGTCTGTTCGTTCGCAACGGCATTAATCCGCTGATACAAATGGCCTCCAACCACTTAATATATGTTCATTTTTACTCTTCTTTTCTATGACGAATGAGTTGCTTAAAAGTCTGATGTGCGAAATTTTAATGGCAAGCGCTTAGACATGTTTGATGTAAAGAAACTTCCGGAATGCGGCGACGCCATCAAGGTGTTTTATTATCGATCCATAAGCATGCTTAATATCTCGGTCCTCGTATTATGAATAAATCTGACAGTTCTGTAGACTCCGCTGAAGCGGAATGATCTAAAGATCGCACATCGCGGTTTTCAACAGTACACATTCATTCCACGTTCTTGCAACTTGACAAGAAAGACAGCAAGCGTGGTCATTTGGTACGATACTATTTTTGTAATGTGGCTTTCCCCGATGTGCGGTTATCATCTGCATCCTGATGCTATGCGTGGCTGGTAGTTTATTACCTTAGTAAACAGTTTAATTGCTCTTGGGACAAAGGTTCCAAGTGAAAAAAGATGACTAAATAGGTAAATGAAAACCCTGTGCTAGTGGCTTAGGCAAGTGACAGTAGGACATTTTCTGGTTACTCTTGTACATCAGCTTACATTTTCTGCTCATCCGAAAACTTGCTTTATGTTTTGTTTGTGCACGATCTAATAGTTGAAACATAAGTATTGTGCATATGTCTGGGGCGCACTTCAGTACAATCACATACAAGTCTTGCTGCAAGTCTCAGTCTGTCCGTCAACCAGACTATGTCGTTACTCAAGAGCTTCGGGATGTAAAGACTGGCGAATTTACACTCCGGCCGCCTAACTGCTCCACCTTACCTTCTTCTGAGAAGACCTAAGTCTACTTTCACGCTGTAAGGAAAAGCAGCTTAATAACAATATTAAGCTTTACGAAGACAGACTGCTTATGCTTAGAGCCCGCAAACGCCGTTAAGTTAGTTGTTCAATAGAGTCTCCACAATTTTATCCCTCAACGTAAGTAGAGTGAAAGAGTGCAGACCACCCGCCTGTTTTACGATCAACCGAGGCAAGTTGCGAACGACAGAAAATTTTCAGCACAAAATTATTTGGATTATTTCCAGCTTACGGCCGACGCAGGTGACTAAAGCTCTACACAATTTGTTCTCCTTATTAGGGCTTCCCAACTTAATCCCCAATGGATAACAAACCCCAGTGTCTTCCTGATACTAATTTCACTCTTCGGCATGCGAGCAATATTTCGTGTAGTTGGACGCCGGAACACCATCGTAGTACGAGATAAGGTTGGCGACATTTGGTTTCGGATTTGACTGTCACTCTGGTAAGCCACAAAACGCCCGCGCCTACAAAAGGACCATGGATGGCTTGCGCTACACCACTCACAGCTCCAAACACACACCATATTCGGTGTAAACCCGAGGAAATACGACCAGGAGCGATGTGGATTGAAGCCACATTTCGTTAACGGAGCCGGCCCCCAATCCTACACAGGAAACTTAAGCGCGCTGTATTTAGGGAAACAAGCGCCCACAAGGCGATAGCTGGAAGGTACTCCGCTCCACACTGAGTGCAAGGAACCATTCTTTAAGCTTAGTACCATCACAAGGACCGTGGATCCCGTCCCTTCCAGCAACGACCAACTGTCTTCTGGAGGCAGTATGGAAGAAATAGACAGGTACGCACTTTGTCAATTTGCACAGCAAGCGCAGCCACACCAGGGATGTCAAAATGACATTATCAAATAAAATATATGTGTTAAAGCATACGGCTATGCAAACAGAATTCTTCGCTAAATTATCATTTGAAGTACGTTGGTTATCAATGAAAACGTTATAAGTACAGAATGTTCAGCAGTTACACAAAAATGGCTACAAACTCAAGAAGTTAACGAAGATAAGCGCAATTAGCGTAAGTAACATGTGCAAGTTAATAAAAGATTATTTTATTAGGCAGAAATAACCAAATAAAGTGGAATGAAATTTATACAGGCTAAAAAGACCTAGTTTAAGTGTAAGTTGGTATAGCTCAACTGCGGTGAAGAGTCATCATGACTCCAACATCAGCCTCAACACGGGGCACAACTTTTAAGTAAATGAAATAAATTGTTTGCCAAAACTTTAGCTAAATGTCCAAGCCGTCAGAAAGTATATTTTAGGAAAGAATATCAAAACCATGAAAAGGTTGTCAAACTTAACTACAATTAACTTGAGCGACGCTTGCAAGTTAAGGGGAAATAGTTCAGGTAGACATTATGGGGACAATGTAGGTAACCCCTCACCTGAACTAAAAAATCCATCATGCAAGCAAGCGGTTAGTAAATCGAATGCAACTTACCTTCAAACGATGCGCCGGTTCTGCCTACATTCTCTGCAGGACTCGTCGTCGTTTCGGCTTTGGCCCCGAGTGACCTCGATCATGGCTGTCCAGGCTTACCTGATTCAGGCACTCGCGACCGCATGTGCTACAGCGCCATGCGCTCGATGTCGTTGGAGTACAACACTTCGACGGTATTACCAGATAGAACCCTAGTAAAACACGTATGCACTTCGAATATCTAGTAACAAGTTTACGGTAAGTACTCCACTTTAATATAGCATATACAAGATTGATGTTGCAATTTGCATTAATTCATGGACTTTAGCAACCGAACAATAATTGGTGTGGCTTGCTGTTTTGTAAACGTACTGGAGTTAGCTGCATTGTCCATCCAAAGTAATTGATTTAATTTCAAAACATAAAAGGTAAGTATGCACTTGCCCTCCGAATTTGCGTTAATAATTATTTTTAATTAATTTGCCAAAGTCGTTCTAATGTTATGCATTGCTTGAATTTACAGATTCACCTTGAACCACCAATATAGCCTCGACCATTGTGTCGTTCTTTCGGTTGAGGTCGTCTCAAATGTAGCTTTACTGTACATCCTTCGTCATCCTTGTACACAATGTTGCGCGTTTCTTCGGAAAGGTAAATCGTGCCTTTGTATTCAATGAAAGCATCACCTGGAAATAAAAGCAGCATTTAGCAAGTTCGATCACTTTTTCGCTTCAATAGCCAAGTGCAGTATTATCACCGACCGAATGAGCAGTATGCTTATTAGCAAAACTATTGAAACGCGCTTTGGAATCATTTTCGTTAGTTAGTCTTTAGTCGACTGACGCACATTATTTGATAGAGAGAACTGGTAAATAGCGCTTTCCTCCAGATCGGTTACAAAACTGGCAAATGTTGCATGAAACATTAGATACCAAGTATGCTGTCTTAATTATTAATGGCTTTTTTATGACATGCGCTCCAGTAGATCATGGTATTGTACGTTTCCTGGATGCAAATCAAGCAATCCTTTGTATGATATTTTCCACTGCATCCAAACTTCCGACGACTATCATTCTCTGAGGATAGACAACACGTGAAAATCGAAATATCAAACCCCATGCTCGGAATCCCAACGAAAATAGGGTGAGTACTTGTGAAGAATTGACAAGCATTGCTTACATCGACCTACGGTTTGCTGAAATTATGTGCCTACTAGATAGGCGTACAAAGAAAACGTATACACAATTATCCCTTTGCTATCGAAAACCGATAGATGTTGAGCAGAACATTCAGCACCGTAGACCCCAAAATCTGAAATTGGTGAGCCGTGGTCCTTCGATATAATAAGCCGTTTCTATTAACAAGGTAACCAATACATAGAGTTGAAGACCAATCATTTCAAACCCTTGATTGAAGCAACAGGTATCCCAGATTTACAAGTGAAAATAATAAAGAATGGTATAATAAAACCCCTTGGTAGCGGATCAAACAATCCCAAAGGGCATATTAACAGACCACAGTCCGTACTCCGAACGTGTAGTTTTGGACTTGTTTATGGAAACTCCGTATTGAGAAAGTGTAAACAACCCTCTAACATTCGCAAATAAATGGCTTGACGGAGCGGAACAATAGAAAAATGAATAAGTGGCTGGCTGCAAAGCATGGATAAGTGAAGGAAGCTTTAGCATTGCTTTTGCTAGCACACATAGCGTCCAAACTGATCTTTAAATAAAAGTCACTATGCTATTTTTTATGCAGTCGAACTGCTCGATTCCCCTTTTATCTAAGAGGCAAAACGTTGCAAATTTGCAAACTAATTCCAAAAGCAACACAGGATATCATAAAGACAGATAACCCTAACATAAATGCAACTCAGGTGTAGATAATGGAAAGTTCCAATCCTGTACTGCCATACAACTAGTTCTGACTCGGTTTTGAATAACAGACTGGGATTTTCAATGCGCACTCACATACGGCTCATAAAAAAGGAACTTGCTCCTAAAGTGGTGGGGTTCAGATCCGACTTGTAGCCAAAAGGGTTCATCTATGCAATCTTTCATCAAGAGGACCATCAGCGATGGCACGCCAGAAAACTAGTTGACTTGATTTAAAGGAAGAAATTTCTTCGAATATTGAGCAGCCTATTTAATGTCAGAGAGACTCGCAGTGGTTTTGCAGTGGCACACTTTAAATGCGCGAGTGTGTGATGGGCAAGTAGCAGGTACTCTTGTGGAAATACTAATGACCCAACAGAAGATTAATACTTGTGTGTTGCAAATCTATTAGAGATAGCACCTCAAAGTAACGCGCGCTGCGCAATATACAGGATTGACTTCGAAGATGCACGGAAAAATCTATGGTAATAATTGGTGCAGATGGTCGATGATGTAAGCTACAATAACTAAGTAAGTTGGCACCTTGGGTTCTTAGCGTTAGTGTAGTAAGCTTCATAGTCCACACCTCTCACTAAGCTATAAACCAGCTAACCACGATATCATCGTATGTAGCTAATACAAAACGCAGCACAAGCATTTGTTGTATATTATGCATTTTGTCATTATATTTGCTATCATTTGAGTGCATTTTATTTTGGCACGCCGACCACGTTTTCCCAACCTATAGACAGCCTGCTAAATAATAAAAATGTAAGAATAATAACATTAATTTTCAGGCGGATGGCCTATTGCTTACATGAGCACCCAAAATATCCTGGTCAGCATAACCCCGGGTAACATGCCTTAATTCTACATCAGTACATTGTCAGCGGACGCGTGGAACTGCGTGCGCAACCTATCGAGGGGCTGCTCCTTATGGAAGCAGGTCCCCAGGAGTCTGTTCCATGGATGGTCGTATTACGTCACTTGAACTGCGGGTTATGCCTACAGTTATTCCTATGCTTTGCGTACCAGATTTTAGCACTTTTAAATATTTATGCAACACAAAGGTTCTCTCGGAGCTGTATTGTCAAATTCACAAGTTCTCTCTGTCAATAGGCAAAAGATTTGACCGGTGTATCGCACCATCATAGATGTAAAATGAGGATAAGGTGCTGCATATTTAATTTAATATTCAAAAACTATTGTATTTTCACCTCGAATTTGTAGTTGGGTAATTACATGATTAATTGAGTGCGTAGAACACTTGAAAGGGAATAGTCGAGCAAGAGGTAACTTTGCGTTATGTTGCTGTCCCTGATGAACTGCATGTGTTACTTTGTGTAAACGGTACAAAGATTCCTGACGTTCACGTAGGAGCTGAGAGCATGCATTCACACACCAAATGACACTGTTTGCGGTCCATTTTGGAACTATGACACATTTTCCCATCTTGCGGTAGTAAAACTATCTTCGTTCGATCTCTCTGACCATCTTTCCTCATCGAAGCAAATTTGTTAGGTTTTATATTTCGTTACAAGCATTTCTTATTGACTCCCATTGTCTAGTTTGCGCAAGGAAAATCCGTTTGGGAATTAGCGAGACCTTTGCAGCTGTGCTTATGATGCGTCAAGCTGCAAGTCAGACCAATTTATGCTTTACACATAAAACAATCGCTTTCGGAGTATCAACATTTAATCAACCATACAGGATTTGTCGCATTGCAATTGGCCATATATTATCTCGCAGGCTTACCAAAAACTGTTTCGCTGTGGTTAATATTACTAAACGATAAAAAGCAACAGCAGTTAAAAACGCTTCTGATGGTGAGAAACATCACTCCTCATCAATCACCTAAGGCAACAATGACCAAACAATCCGAACCGTAGCAGGGGACCTCATAGTAAGGTTTGCTCGCCCTGGAGTATATAGGTCACATGTTGAAAGGTAAAAAAGCAAGATTAGTTGTAAAATTAATACTATCTACTTTCATCACATTTATTTGTTAAGTGGTGATTCACTGCCTATACCAGTAAGCCAGTATAGTCGATAAAACTTGCATTGTTTCGCTTCTTGCAAAATGGAAAGTAGAGCGTGCTTACTTAGAATAATAATAATATTGCACACTCTCCGGTTTAAGAGTCATGCCATTTTCGGCATGATCCTACATCAGTTGCTCTTTTAAAGATATATTGGAGAAGGAAATGAAAGTGGGCGAATAAGGCAGCACGAATGCAGCGATATATTCGAGATTACGTTTTTGCGCTGTTTACTGTATCCATGTCCAGGAAAGTTCAAGTTTACGAAAACCGGTTGATACAGAATAGCAAACTGATTGATAGTTGCACGCTTTTCCAGCGGTACGGGCGCTTCTAATATTGTAAAAGACAGGGTAGGCCATCAGGCGTCCACAGACCATGATGAATGTTTACCGGGGTGCACATGGGCGTCAAAATGTTGCGTGCTGGTCGGTTGATCGGGTGCAACTTGGTCGTCGCTCGTGTTAATTGACAACTGGTGCGGGCGCATCAGTGCTGTCGCATAAAACTTTACAACATATAAACAGCGTCATTAAGCATTTTTCAAGCCAGCACCACATTAATATTAGAAGGCGTGAGATGTAGGGAGTATTTTGTGTATGCTAGACAATATGGGACGCTTGCATAATCGAGCTTGGTATAATTAGTAGAATATCTAACACCAACGCGTAGCTTAACCCAAGAAACGACATCGGAAAAAGCTTAGCAGTTGCTGGTTGCCTTTGCGTAAGTGAACACTGCCAATACTATAGTGGCCAACTTGGAGGACTTTAACAACCTCATTTCGAAATAAGCTGAATTTCAATGTGAACTATCGTGAACTGGAATTTGCTAATAGCGTATGTTAGAGTTAGCCAAATAACATAGAAGAGATTGCCAATGTTAACAGCCTGGGCTTATTTTAAGCCTTTGACCGTCCAAATCACTAAATCCGTATTCTTAACCGGTAGTTATATAATCTTTGACGACATTTATTGATTTGAATGCCAAGGGCTATTTTCAACAGCAATTGCCGTTTGAACGTCCGCGTTTACCATCCCCACCATCAAAATCGAAAGTAAACTACCATTAAAGTTGAAGTGTTTGGTAAACTCAAATATTGGAGATAAGCTTTTGGTTTCGCTAGTGCTGCTTATTTAGTGCTTCTACGTTTTACCAATTATAATAAAAGTGGTTAAGTATTAATGAGCAATTTGATTATCCCTCTGTGCACATTGACCTAGACAAGGTAGCTCAGCAGACAGATCAAATTCAACAAACAGAAATGTAAATAAGTTCCAATGTTCAGTGCGATGTAGGATTTCGAGAAGATTCATCAAGTCTATACCCAGCTAAACAGCCACAACACATCCAAGAAATTGCCAGACGGCCGTTTCGTACTACTTAGTTTCGTTACTTACGCCTGCCAGCTAAATAATGCCGGATTCCTAATAGCCTAACAAAGTCCACTACCGTTCACTGGTTATCAATAATCGCCTTAGCTGCATCCTCACCAACCTGCGTGCTGGTAGCTTGCAAAGAAAGTCGCTGCCACTGCACATTCATAAAATGCATGGCAGTGGAGGAGGAGCTGCGCTATAACGCAGTTAATTATCAGCCATGGGGGTCCACTACATTCACCCACTGCTCAGAAACATAATGCACTGGCTGGTGCGAATAAATTCATGTCTTCTAATCTGTCGGAATGCCGCGGGTATGCGCTACTGACGAGCCACAATAGGACAAAAAGCCTGACTAACGCTATCCTGGATGTGTGAAGGTTGTCTGCGTGTGTTTAGCGGGGACGAATCTC